TAATGGAAGCCGCCCCAGTTCAGCGACTGGCTGACCTTAGAGGTACTTTAAATTATCTCGCGGCAACTTGTTACTACTGGAGGCGCCGCGACATTGTCGGTTGCTCGGTCGCAGCCGCCGCGAGGAGAAGAGAAAGAGAGAAAGACCCTGCGCCCAGGAGATGCCGATGGCCTTCTGTTTGCACAGCGTTGCTGCAAGATCCAGGGACTGCTTCCGGAACAGTGAAGTTTCCCCGGCGTCGTTTTACTTTAAACGCAAGTATGCCAGCGTATTTAATTCGGCTGTTATCGGAAATAGAGTCTGGAACTTGTCCGGACTTGCGAGCAAGTGTGACGCGAAATTAGATCTCGTACATAAGAGATGTGGAATTACGATTAAAGATAATTATGTGTCTGTCCTCGGCACATGTCCGTTTAAGAAGGTTCTAAGACTTACGGCCGATTGTTCCAACCTTAGTAAACTACCTGACAGTTAAATCATATGTCTATCTTTGTCTGAATTAAAGGAAAAACAAAGACAGACATATGATTAAACTATCAGTTAATTTACCAAGAAGTTGGAATGACTAGCATCGTATTTTTTTTCAGTGACGTACATTATAAGGGGACCACTCATAAACCTACTATTTATTTGACAAAATTGTGTTTCTATAGAAATTAAAATCTCTATCTTATTTAAAAAATAAGAAAGAAAAAATATTAAAGAAATAAAATATTTATTTTGTGGATGCTAAGAACATGTTTACTGAAATCTGAATCCTTTTATTCAAATGGAATAAACAATTGCTTTCATGAAAAGTTAAGATTTTAAGAAAATATATGTATTTTCCTGTTTGAAAAATATTTTATATTAGTATATAAATGTTAATATTAATAAAAATATTAATATTAAATAATATTAGTTAATATTAATAAAATGCCTTAGTATAAATATGCTATTAATAAAACAAATGTTATAAATAAATAGGTTATTAGTATCCGTCGAATAAATTTTTTTATCTCAGACATTTTCTCTCAGTGTACACGTTAGTATTTTTATCTAAATAACAAATGTTAATTTGAGAGACGAAGTTGAAAATCAATATTTTTAGACACACTTTTTTGTTGAAAGAGATGCTGAGAAGTCTCAATTATAAAATAGTAGTACAATACAATCAAAATCTGTAAACTACATGCACTATTCTGAATTTTTCTTGGACTTTTTGTAAAAATCGACGAAACATCGCATATTCGTTCGCAGGTCTTACAAAGAAATCCAACATTATATGCGGAGGCTTAAAATATTTATGCATAATGCACTTGAATAATGTGATACACCTTGAACACGATAAAACGGCAAAACAGCACGATAGATCAGTTAGATATTCAGAGGTACACCGTGAATACTGAATTGGATATAACGCGATGACGACTTAACGAAAGACAGCCGAGAGTTCCGGCGGAACTCATTAAAGTTAAATTAACAAGACTTCTGCTTTGGACAGATTTACTAATAGTCCTCAATGAGAATGCGCGCGCGCGGTGCGGTCAGCTGATTACAGCAAGATCGCGATAAGTCAGTCTTGGTGTTTCCTTACACTAAAACCGTTATTACGACGACGAGGGAGTAGAGTAGAGTAAAGTAGATTAGATATTTACTTGCGTTGAGATAATCCATTCAGTGTGCAGCGTGATTTGTAATGAGTCACAGACTCACTTGCATACACGCGCAGTGAGAGAGAGAGAGAGGGAGGAGAGAGGGAGAGAGACACAAATAATTATTAATTTAGTAACGCGGCGAGGCGGCCGCGCGCGGGCCGGCTCGTTTTCTGCCAATTTATCACCGTCATTTATCACCGTTATCACACCGTCAGACGTAATTCACCTTCGGATTAACGATGTCGGCCATTCGCCGGCATGGCTACGTGGCCGATGGCTTGCCGGCTAGGCGAACGGGAGTAAAGGGATATTAGAGGCATATGTAGTATCATGTTTTCACGGCAACCTTGTTATTGGTTAATCGTCTTAGGCAGCTTAGCGAGCCAGTATGACGCGTTCGACTACGTCGTTGAGGGACTTCGTAGCCAATATGAAGAAGGATTTTCGCGCTGGGACGTTTTCTCACTTCCCCTTCCTTTCTCTTCTTCTCTTTCTCTTTTTTTCTCTCTCTCATGAAGATTATCTCGGTGACGAGAGCTCGTCTTCGCCTCGAATTTAATCAGCACGCGCTTCCGGCTTGAGGCTTCGCCGTTTTGTGCACGCGATTTCGGCGCGGGGCTAAATATAAGCGCTCTTGCGGCCTCCACGAACATATCGGCTCTTAATCCTCGACGGGATAATCGAGCAGACGATCTCACGCGAAGAAGCGCTCTACACCGTTCGATTCGCGATCAATCTTAATCGATTTCACGCGAAATCCGACGCTATCCCCTATTTCTCTTTGTTTTTTTTTCATCTGTTTCGTTTCACTAAGGATGCCTGTGCCACGCTAATTGGCATGAGTTTTTTTTCGCTAATGACGTTTCTATCGGACGTTGGGGAATCATCGCGCGAATTAATATCACCGCGAAAATTGCGGATCGAGAACGGACTACAATGACATCCGTAGATACTAGTAATGCTCGCTCAAATACTGACGTGTCTCTATGTCGAGTTTAATCGCAATGCTCAACGATATTCCCCGAGGCAATTATACAAGTTTCTCGCAATAACGTTTTTGACAATCCACAAAGGGAATTTTCCTTTTACGACTCTCGCGACGAAAAGTCACGATGAGAGGAAAGGCTTTTGATGGTGAAACATTTTTCCCGTTTGAGAGAAGAAGCAAAGCACTTCCTTAATTAACATATCCTAACTTCACTCTGTTTTACTTAAATAAAAATTCGATAAGGTCACTGCAAACAATTTTGCGTTAAATTTAATATATATTACGTGTACCAACTTATCCATACTAATTTTAATTTAACACGAGACAGATATGTAAACAAGTAACACAACTTATCTGTACATTTTACATATAAAATATGTCACCAAGAAATCTGTCTCTCTCGTACATTTACATATACTTGGAAACATTTGAAAATTTATTCGCGGAATATAAAATTTACTCAAATGTAAAAAATTTTATTTTACAGAGAGATAAATTTTACTTCACAGAAATAAACCTTATATTCCGCATATAACTTTTCGAGTATTTTTTTTCCAGTATATAGATTGTATTATTTTAACACTTAGAAATAGTGAATATGAGCTCATGGTAGCAAATACTTTCGGTAGCCTAAGATAGAATACAAAATAACACAACGATAATACGTTAACCATCTACTGTCCAAATTAATTTCTCATATTTAAAAAAATTTTCATATACATAAGATGTTTAAAACTAAAATACTCAATACATATAAAGTAAAATTTTACTTTTCAAGTTTTTTATTTTTTTAAATAAAAATAGGGTGTGATTCTAAGGTCACGTTGAGCAGCTATTATCGCTGTCAACATATTAAAAAAAAGTAACCATATTATGACTTTCACGTTACATCAGTCAAAAAACAGGAACAACATTCATATATTGGAGATAAATAATGATGAAACTGAATTGTGACTTCAATGCCATAGTGGACAGTAAAGGGTTAAATTAACATACACATTTCTGCACGAATCGATTTCAACACAAATACACTGAGAAAAAGATATTCGGAAATTTACTTGTGAGATTTCTGCGAAATAAACTTTATGTTCCACAAATACATTTTCAAGTATCTTTTTCTCAGTGTACAAAATGTTTTTTACCGTAGGGTGTCATAACATGTTTTTAATTTTTCAATTTTGCCTCTAAATCTCCCATTTAATCGGGAAGAAGAAACGGATTCGCGAAAATTGCAGCTCGAGAGACTCTTGAGGGAGCCGGTAGCTGGAGAGTGTCGCAAACGGCTGCGAGCAAATTTAGCCTCGAGAGACTTCTTCGCGGAAAGATACGCGTGGTAAACTCAATCTTCTTTTTTTCGACGGGACAAAAGATGTAAAAAAGCTGAAGATGAAGGGATTTAATTTCTTATCATCGCGTGGCAATCGTGGGTAAAAACCAGTTCACACCGACAGCGACCGAGAATGACTGAGAATTCCGCGAACTGGGAATTGCTCTCTTTACCCATCGCGTATTATATGCCAGCGTTGTGTAAATATAACTGACGTAATGTTCGGAAGAACATAAAAGAAACGGTCGATCGTAATTTCCATTCGTTTTTCTTTTCACGCGATGTTAGGGCGCGCGAGCGCATAGGGCGATACGATGCTATGGACAGGTAGATTGGCGCTAAGCTATTGACGCGGTGCCTTAAGAGTATCGGTCGAGGAATCGATCATGAACTGACCTTTCCCTCGGCGTGTTGCAACGCGACTCTCCCTGTGGTGGCGTTTTACTCGCGCTTTTCGTGCCGTTGAAAAATTAACAGGCCGCGAGGCTATATTACAAAGAGCCTCTCTGATCCCGGTATAAGTGCGATCGACACGCCTCGCATCCTCCTTTACCTCGCGCTCTAATATTTCACCGTTCTTAATCCCATCTCCTTGTAGACGCGTACACCAGCGACTTCGCGTCTACGTGTAACTTCGCTCCGGCTATAATCGGATCACGATCTAATTTCGTATTTATGAACGGCGCCTTGCGGTCTACAATTTCGTGCTTCCCTCGCGGAAAGTTCAACGCGACCAGAAAAGATTATGCGTATCCTCTCCCCGTCGCCACGTGATAAGAAGTTCGAGTAATTAAACGTTAACGCGAGATACCTCTCGCCTCTTAAATCACACGGATATCGCGCTTTGGAGTTAACCAGGACAGAAACAAAACAAAAAAGTAAATAATGCCGAGTAACACTACGATGTGAAGCGTGCTTCGAGCGCAACAGGTTAAAATACCATACAAATGCAATTAAAGGTGAAAACACGGTCAATGGAGAACTGAAAAATGCAAGTCTGCTACGGTGAGAAAACGCGCGATGGAGGTAACACAGTTCGACGACTAACCTTTCCCTCTGCGCGCTGGAACAGGGCACCAGAATCTTCCCCATACTGTTGAGCTTCCCCTTGGGATCGCAGAGATTCCCGGAGGACTGAGTGCGTCGGCCAGTGAGGCCCTTTCCGTTGTGCCTGCTCAAATTCGAGCCCATTGTTGGCTCCTCGATCGCGGCCTGGTTTGCTTGCTCGTCCTCGCGCCGATTCACGGCATTGCCAGGAGTGTTCTCCTTATTCGGCCAATCGAAGTACCTGTCGACGTTCTTGACATTGACCCTGCAGGAGATCGGCGGCGGGGGTGGCGCTGGTCTGTTCCTCTTGCCGCCGGAAACGGCCTGCAACTGCGGCCGACAGCCGCGGCGACGACTGACGGATTGCGGCGACTCGGTGCTGCTCACCGACAGCCGCTGCACCTTCCAGCCCTCCTGACCACCGCTGGTCGACGGCACCGTCACCACTTCCTCACCTGAAATGTGACATTAAAGTGAACATTAAATGATTGTTAGTCATAGGTTATTCTAATATTTTAATGAAAAATAAAATTAAGCAAAATTAAATGATTGTTAGTCATAGGTTATTCTAATATTCTAATGAAAAATAAAATTAAGTAAAATTAGAAGTCATAGTAAATGCTGGAACATTCTGACTTTACAAATGTACTACGAAATGTATGACGGTAACAGTTCCAACATTTATTCGCTATAACATCTTAGAAGTTGGCAGTTCAATATCAAATGTATATTTGTTAGATCTGTACGTTTATTCTTCTTTTAACTTTCGAAGCGATTGGAATGGTTACTTCAAAGAAGTTATGTTGAGGGAACGTTAAATAAGATTTTATGTGAGCAGAGAAAGTAACGAGATGTGTAATTTTCGTAGTTAATTCATATATCTTAGTAATATTAGGATATTTATTTGTTCCCATTAGTGGCAACTTGAATAAATATGGTATAAGATGATATAAACCTATTTCTAAAAAGAACACGTGATTTGTAAATTTTATTTATTACAGAATTAAGAGTTAGAGAGAAATAGTAAGAAATAGTACTAATGCCATAACTTGGCCCTCCGTAATTTATTGAATAATATAAATATGAATCATCAGCCTATAAATTGTTTAGTAATTAGCTATGATTGGTCAAGTAACTCACGTTATTTGATTTAATTCTTACGAGCCATTTGATAATACGGTTAGTTTAATGTGTCAGGCGAAAAAAAGATGTCTGTTTACTTTCTAAGTAAAGTTTGTAAGTGTTTGTGTTGCGAGAGAAGAATACTGTCGAAGCCTCGGTAACCGAATCGGTACTGTCCGCACGGAAAAAAACAACTCCGTTGGTGTAATTGAATTTTCTGTTACTTGGGGACCAGATGAAAAACTGGACTGTAGGAACAGAAAGATTTCTGTAGGAGGTTTCCACTTAACCAATTGCTCTCAGTTATCTCAACTAAGTTTTAACACTGTATGTTCAGATGAATTTTTTCGCTCACAGTAAGACATTTCTCGTCAGTGAATTTTTTGTCTGGCCCGCATTTAGTTGCACGCATAAACTGAAACTTTTTCCATGTAAAATATGTAGTATTTTTTATATTTTATATTATTATCTATAATTATCTATTATTATCTATTATTATCTATTATCTATTATTATCTATAATTATCATTATATATATATATATATATATTGTCGTGCCCGTGTTGCCAGGACACGAAAAGAGTTCGAGATCGGTGATGCGGGCGCGGCAGGGTGTGTGGCGGTGGAAGAATTGTAGTAAAGGTTTTGACTACGCCTTGTAGTGTTAAATATAAAAAAGGTTTATTTAAATTGTACACTTGTATGAGTTTTAATTACTACTCCCGTACTTATGAGTTAATATGCGAACCGCGCGTAAGTCACGTATGACGCGTATGTCGCGGCGAGAGACCGAGATGTTAAGCCTGACGCGAGTGGTCTCTCCGCTTTTTTATAGTATTGTTTTAGACTTGTCGGAGGGGGTGCCTGGCGACAAGAACATTACCATATTTGGTAATGGTTCGATGCGTTTGGAATTGAGGTCTTAAATGCGGAATGTGCAAGGTGGTGCTTATCGCAGCACTTGCACATCGCTTCCTTGTTGTGGCGCAATTGAAACAATTCCTCGAGAAGTGTTTCGAAAGCGCTGGTAC